GCTCATCTTTTTTATCAAATACCATAAAACTTGTTTATGATAAGGAACTAAAATCTCATTATCATCCCACACACATCTTATAAAGCCTTTCTGCAAATGTTTTGATTCCCCGTATTGGTAAAACCTTTGTTTACATTGAAGACCTAAAGGGGCCAATCTCTCCCCTTTTCCTTCATTTCCTTTGTGTTGATTCTTCTAAAACTAGCCAATCATGGAAGACTGTGAGGTAGGACCCCAGCCAAAGGGAAAAAGACCCAGTCGCCTTGTGGACTAGACTAAAAGCCAAGGGTACTTCTTATTCCATGTGCTCATACCAGTTGGCACAATGGTCTCTGTGTCCTGAATTTCTTTCTAACAGAGGGAAGCAGGGCATGTTCTGACCAACTGTGCCCACTGTCTTCTGTGACAGGATTTCTCTGTGAAGCCCTAGATGTCCTGGAACTCACTCTGTAGACCAGGCTGGCCTCAAACTCAGAGATCCACCTGCCTCTGCCTCCTGAGCGCTGGGATAAAAGATGTGAGCCACAGTGCCTGGCTTTTACATTTTTTGATTGATTTATGGTTTTTTGAGACAAGGTTTCTCTGTATAGCTTTGGAGCCTGTCCTGGAACTCACTCTGTAGATCAGGCTGGCCTTGAACTCACAGAGATCAGGTGCCTCCCGAGTGCTGGGACTAAAGGTGTGCCCACCAATGCCCGGCTTATACTTTTTGTTTTAACTGACCTACTTTCAACTGTGATCATGTCAGTTATGGGAGCAGCTTCTATTCTTGCTATTTACTTTCAGGGTTAGGGTTAGTGTGCAGACCCAACAGGCTGGAATAAAGACTTTCAGTTGTCTATAAACTGTCTGAGTGGTCATCTCTGGTGGGCTCCCTATAACAATCCTCTCAGAGATAAAGTCTAGAAAAATTTGCTTTTTTCTCTCTTTATTTATGATGATAGTTTTATTTAAATTTGAAACAAGCTTGTTTTATATGTTCCAGTCCCCTCACCCTCTTCTCCTCCTCTGTCACCCCCACCCCCGCCCCATCCCCTTCTGCTCCCCAGGAAGGTGAGGCCTTCCATGGGAGAGCTTCAAAGTCTGTCTGGTTTTTTTTTTTCTTTTTTAAATTTATTTATTTTTTTATCTTTGGACATTAGGTTTAAAAAATAGAGAAACAATCCAAAATGATCCTAAACACGTTCACACACACTCAAACATTTTTAAAAGGCATTCTAATTGTGATTATCAGCTTAAAATTAATTAAAAAAAAAAAAAAAACGAAGTGGGCTGGGCATTGGTGGCACACGCCTTTGATTCCAGCACTTGGGAGGCAGAGGCAGGCGGATATTTGTGAGTTTGAGACCAGCCTGGCCTACAAGAGCTAGTTCCAGGACAGCCTCCAAAGCCACAGAGAAACCCTGTCTCAAAAAACAAACAAACAAAAACAATAACAACAATAAAAACCCAAAATAAATAAATAAATAAATAGTAAATGGCGCTGGAGAGTTGACTCAGCAATTAAGAGCACTAGCTGCTCTTTCAGAGGACCAGGATTTGATTCTTAGCACCCATACGGCAACTCACAGCTGTCTATAACTCCAGTTCTAGAGGATCTCATGCGCTCTTTTAGCTTCCAAGGGCATCTGACATGCAAGTGTTTCCCAGATAATGATGAGTGGAAAGAAGAAAGAAAAAGGAAAGGAAAGGACATGACTGCTCCTAGGTATGGTGGAGGAGAAAGTTTATTGTAGATACTTGGGGGAGCATAACCAGAGGCAGGAATATCTGGGAGAGTCCAGAGTAGACATGACCCTGAGCCAGTGAGGAAAGGGGGAGAGGGGACCAGGTGCTGCAGCTAGGAGGGCAAAGAAAAGACCAAAGAGACCAGGTAACCAAAACAGCTGGATTGTATAGGGAAGCGCAGCTGGGGGAAGGGCAGCCCAGCCCCTGGGCTGAAGAAGTTCAGGGTAGAGGAAGGGGTATGCCTGGGTAGGACGGCCAGGTCCACTTTGATGTGTTAAATAGGTACCTAGTCATTCCTCCCAGGTTTGAGACCTAACACATACATGCAGGCAAAAACATTCATATATGTAACACTTTAAAAATCAATCAATCAATCAATCAATCAATCAATAAATAAATAAATATCTTTTAAAATTCAAGAGTCAGGCATTGTTCCTATTAGAAATAAGTTTCAGGGTCTGGAGAGATGGCTCAGTGGTTAAGAGCACTGGCTGCTCTTCCAGAAGACCCAGTTCAATTCCCAGCACCCACATGTCAGAACCATCTGAAATGAGACCTCATGCCCTTTTCTGACCTGCAGACATAATAAATAAATAAATTTTCAAAAAAACAAAACAAAACAAAACAAAATCCTGCTTAAAAAACAGGAAAAGAAATAAGCTCCAGGTTATAAAGCAAGAGACCATCACTCCAACTGAAGTGCCTAGAGAGGGCAAACTTCACTCTTGATCAACAGGGTGTGTCCAGAAGAGCAAACACATGGAGATAGGAAGTAAGTACATTTGTGGTCTGTGAGCTAATAGATTCCAAAGATTGTTATCTATTAGTCACAGGATGCTAACTCTGACACAGAAGTGGGTAAAGAGGCTGTTCTGGGGGCTAGAGCCAACCCCAGATAAGACAATTAGCTTCCTGGACCCTTCACATTCCCACTTCCCCACATCATAGTTATATTCAGTCAGTCTTTGCAGACACATCTTCTTTCCAGTTTCTCATTAACAATGTCTTGACCAGACAGACAGACAGACCTTCAACTTGTCAGGACAGGAGTCCTCCTGGTGGGAAAAATAGGCCCTGTCAGGCCTTTGTTTTAAGTGGCCAGGTTTTTGTCTCAGGTCGGGGATGGGGGTTGAGCTGGACTTTTGCTGTCTTAGAAGTTTGCTTTTTTTAAGTTTTATTTTTATTATTTTTTGGTTATGTGTGTGTGTGTGTATGGTTTGTGTATAGATTTATACATGTGCAGGGACCAAAAGGGTTGGAAACCCTGGGAACTGGAGTTGGAGATGATTCTGAGCTGTGCACATGGATGCTGGGAACTACACTCAGGTCTTCTGCAAGAGCAGCCAGTGTTCTTAACAGCCAAGCCATCTCTGCAGCCCCTTGCTATCTTATTCCCAGTGCTGGTCCCTCCCTATCTGTCATCCTGTCAGGGATCTATCTAAGTGCTAATCCCTCAGTTTGACATTTCACATCTTTCAGAAGCATTTCACCCAGTACTAAGTTTATCACTAATACATTCTCCTTGTCCCTAGGGCTGGGATGCAATGGGCACATGGGGAAAGGTGGTTTTGCCTTTCCATTGCTCCTGAGTAGACCCTTTGCTCTGAGACCCTGGTGCCCTAGTGCTGATGCCTTGTCCTATCTGCTGCCCAACATCCCTTCTTGCAACAGAGCTCTGGGTAGCCACATCCTTCTAACGGCATCCCTGACACCAGAACCTGGTCACGGCCCTTTTATTGGCCAGTCTGTGGCCCCTTGTTAACAGCTGCTCCCCATTGCTGTGTGGCTCCTGGTTCTTTCTGATCCTATCACTGGATGTGACAATGGTGGCCTGACTGCTGTTATGATAGTCATCCAAGCATTTCCCATCAGGCTTTGTTGCCCATACTGCCTTTTTACTGACGCTGGACATGTTAATAATGTTTGAGGAAGCCAGGGTTCAGGGCTCAGGTTTGAGGTAGTTGTGGGTCACCTTTGTGCAGCTTAGCATATAAACCCTTCCTCTTGCTCAGGAATTACCTGTCTTGTTTCCACCTGAGAAATACTTCTGCCAATGAGTTCCCAAGAAGCTGTGTCCTCTACAGTTCTGGGCATACCTCCCTCTTTTAGGAACTTCACAACACCTGTGGCTAGTTCTTTCACAGAGGGACTTGTATTTCTGGAACCAAGGTGAGTCCCTACCCTGGCTCTGAGCTACCTCTGAAAACACCCATGGAGGGGACAGTGGGTGTCCTGATTCTCCTTTGTGGAGAGTAGGGACACTGCAGGGAGCCAGTTACTGACAAATTCTCAGCTGAAGTCTAGAAGCTTCTTTGGCATCTTTGTTTCAGCCACAAGATGGGTGGGATGGGCTGTGTCTGTGGCAGGACCGGATCATTTTAATGGGACACTGTGGATATGTGGTGTGGGAAAGCCCCAGAGTTTGGTAGCACCCCTGGCTTTTACCTAGTGTGTGCCAGTGACATCTTCACAGGCTCCAAACCAGAAATGCCTTCAGATACTGGCAGATGTGTCCTTGGGGTCCACTCCCCTGGCTGTGAAGTGCTGGGCTGGGGATGTGATCCAGGTGACCTGTGGGCTCCTGCCAGGAGCACAGATCTTCCAGAGCCAGGCTAGCTAGTTGTCCCTTTGATTCAAGAAGAGCAAACTCCATTTTAGAGCTAGTGGTGGGGCAGGCATATGACATGTCCTTAGTGTAGAGGTCCCTTGGGACTCCTGCAGAGCTCTTTACCCACCCAAACACTCCAGTGGCCAGAGTAAGACTTCAGGCAAGCATTGTCCACAAACAGAAGAGGTTGGCTGGGCCCACTGTAGGTACCAGGGAGCATCTGTTCTTAGATTTGACAGTAAAGTTAGTCACAGTTGCCACAGTCCTGGGTCATGGGTGTCTCTGACAGCACTGGGCTCTTAATCCTCCACTGCCCACTGAAACAGCAAGGACACACACACACTTGCAGAATGCCCTGGTGCAGTGTCTGCGGGGTGCACTGTGTTGGACACTGTAGGTCCAACAGAGGAGCTCCAGCTTAAAGCTCCTAGTGATGTGTGCTCCCTGCATGGGGGAGTTGTTGCACTGGAGTGTCAGAGTTAACTAGATGGATCGGGGACTATCTCCCATAAAACCCAGGCTGTGTTAGGGATACCTGGCAGGCACTTCTGAGCCACCAGCCTGAGACACAGCCCTTATCTTTCCAACATTCCTGGTGATGCTACTGTAAGCAGGTGGTGATGCCCATGTAACCTTGGTGGCAAAGGACTTCACGTCCCTGAGCATGGGTCACCAGCCCCCTCCCATCCTCCCTGAGGTCAAATGCCATTTCCTCCCAGCTCTTCCTCCAAGCAGAGGCCTGGCCAAGCCACCTGCCCACTTCCTGGGGCTTGAGGATAAAGGGGCTGAGAGGCTCAAGCAGGAGGATGCTGTGGAGACCCGGCAAGGTAAGGGCACCACCCCCCCTTTCCCAGCTGCCTCCACCGGCTTTGGATTTCAATCTTCTCCACCCCAAACCAGGCAAGCCCAGTCCCCTCCATACCTCTCCATGCTCCTTTCCTTGCCCAGAATCATGCTCCAGTCCTCTCCATGCTGACCCAGGCTACTCCCGGGCCCCTCCAACTCTCCGCCCGTGTGTCTCTCTACAGATGCTGAGTCTGCTGTGTCTGACCCTTTTCTTTGTTGGGTGCTCCACGGCTGGAACCCCAGGTGAGTCCTTGTCCCTGGCTTTCCTTCCATTCCACAGAGGATCCAAGAGGTCCTGTCCTCAGGACTCTGGGGACACGAGCGTGACCCGCTCTGCTCCAGTGTGGGTGGCAGGCTGAGCACTGGCCTCCTGACCTTCTACTTGTTGCTTGCAGCACCTGTGTCTGAGGACGTGCTGGTGGGCATTGTGGGGGGCCACAGTGCCCGGCAGGGGAAGTGGCCATGGCAGGTCAGCCTGAGGATCTACAGCTACTACATGGCCTCGTGGGTGCACATCTGTGGGGGCTCCATCATTCACCCACAGTGGGTGCTGACTGCTGCCCACTGCATTCACAAGTGAGTTCCTTTGTCATCCAGTGCTGGGTAGGATGAGGGGTAAATCAGAAAGGCCAGGCCAAAACCTGGGTCTGGAGACCTGGATTTCAGTTGATTCTGTCCAGGATTGTGGAGAACTTCCCCACAGTACTAGACTATGTCATCACAACTTCTTTCTGACCTCAGGAGAGATGCTGACCCGTCATCTTTCCGGATCCACGCTGGGGATGTGTACCTCTATGGGGGCAAGGAGCTGCTGAAAGTGAGCCAGGTCATCATCCACCAGGACTTTGTCCATGCTGGCCTGGGTTCTGATGTGGCTCTGCTCCGGCTGGCAGAACCTGTGAGATCCTTTGCTAATGTCCAGCCAGTCAAGCTATCCTCTGGGTCTCTTGAGGTTACCCCAAAGGATGTGTGCTGGGTGACTGGCTGGGGTGCAGTGAGCATGTACAGTAAGTACTGGGGAAGGATTTGAGCTGTGGGAACAAACTTGTCATCGGAGGATCCCTGATGGGTGGTACCAAGGTGCTGGGAGCAGGATTCAAAGAGGAAAGATAGAATGGCCGACAAACATGAACTAATCTAAATGCATCTCCAAGCTACTCTAGATATCCATCAGAACCTCTGTACCTGAGGCCAATGACACAGTTGGACTCAGAATCCAAGACTCTAAGGTGGAATGGTTGCTTCTTATTTTCTAATAATAAAATATCTTGGAGAAAATGCCAAAAATCAAACCCATTTCTTTGGCCTTTGATAGGCAAGCAGGCAGAATCCATGTGTAGAAGTCCTAGAAGTTATAAGTGAACATGGACCCTTCAGGCTGGCATCCACACATTCCTTTTCAGAAGGGAGATACTGAGGCTCAGAGAGGGAGCTGGACTTGGACAGGGATAGAGCTATGCTGGAGACAGAACTCTCTACCCCTAAGTGGAGCAGTAGGATCGTAGGATGGGTAGGGGATCTATGCGCCAACCAGCCACATCTCTCTCCTCCCCAGGGCCACTGCCTCCCCCCTACCGCCTGCAGCAGGTGCAGGTGCAGGTAGTGGACAATGACCTATGTGAAGAGCTGTACCATAACGCCTCCAGGCACTACTATCGTGGTCAGAGACTGATCCTACAGGACATGTTATGTGCAGGCAGTGAAGGCCGAGACTCCTGCTATGTGAGTCCCACCCTCCTCCCCCTCTGTTTCCCATTCTCATGCCAAGGCCAATAACCACAAATGCTGCTTTTTCTCCCAGGGTGACTCAGGCGGCCCCCTGGTCTGCAGGGTGGCAGGCTCCTGGAACTTGGTGGGAGTGGTGAGCTGGGGCTATGGCTGTGCCCTGAGGAACATCCCTGGGGTCTATGCACGCGTACAGTCCTTTCTGCCCTGGATCACTCGGCAGATGAAGAGGCTCTCCTGAGTCCAGCTGTTGGCCTGGTGCTGGTCAGGCAAGGATGGACCTGCTTTGATTACAATTCCAGAATGCACGGGCAGGTTTCAGGCTCTGGAGTGTTGGTGCCAAGTTCTCTGGTCAGTAGCTACTGAACCTGGATGGCTCTGTTTCCCAGCTTCCTAAATAAAGAAGATGTGTTGCACACTCACCATGTTCAAGTTTTTGTGTGACTACCAATCCTTTTTTTTTTTTTTTTTTAGTGGAAACACATATGGACGCTGTTTTAATAGCTTTCTAGGCAAGGAAACAAATCTTGAATTTGGCAGAGGTAGGGCTCAGGCAGGTCTGCATGTTCCCCAGGCGCCCTGAACAGATTGATTCTTGTCTCTCCAGCACCTAGTAACCCTATAGCAACCTGGAACCTGGATATGGTGACATTGTGCAATGATGAGAAGGGTGACAATCTCAGGTACCCAGCCTGGGGACAATGATACTCTGACCCTCATCAATGTCACCATGGGGTCAGGAAACTCCTGCAACATTGATGTCCTTCCTGTACCTCATTTTTTCAAAACCCTGGAACCCTATAGACTCAGTTACCCAGTGTGGCTAAGGTTATCTTCATGGTTTGGGCTGCTGCCTTGAATTACACACAATGATAGCTGTCTATGCCCAGGGTGAGGGTGAGGGTGAGGGCCAACAGCTACCTGGCTTCTCTCACAGCGATTCTGTCCCTGGGTGCATGGTGGAGAGTGTCTGACTAACTTTTTATTGGGAGCAGCTGGAAAATTAGGGTGGATTGGACCCGAAGCATCTACTCCAGACTCAGACAGCAGTCTCCATTCATCCAGAGGCTCTACCTAGGAGCCAGTAGTCTGCAGAGGTCATCAGGTGCACAGGCCAGTGAGTTGCACTGGCCTTTGTGGCTTCTAGGAGGTGGGAGGGGACTGATGGGTGCTAAACTCAGATGAGCTTTATCTAAGGGGTCAGGGGTCAAGAAGGGACAGAAGAGGCTCTGATTAGAACTCTGCTGAGTCTGGAGGGGGAATCAGGGTTGCAGGGGAGATCTTAGGTCCTGTGAGGGTCCCAGCTTGCTGAGCAGGGGCCCCAAGGCTGGGCAAGTCTGGCTTCTGCTCTTCTGGAAGGAAGCAGGTGCTTTTAAGTAAGGTTTCTTTCCCTTTCTTGCCTGTAACTGGGCAGAGCAATGAGAGGGAGGAGGTCACTCCAAGGAAACTGGTAGTCACCTGATTCCCATGGCTCCCACAGGCATCTGGACAGTGCCACTGTCCTCAAAGGTACCACATGCTCTCTCTACAGACACACACACACACACACACAGGCCCCTATTTCTCCAACACAGCCCATCAAAAGCAAGACCTGTCCTGTGCTTCCACATCTCCTCAGGGCAGGAAGGGTGGAAGGAAAGGGTAGGGAAGCCTGTAGTATCTGGACTGTGGCTATCCAGTGGCTCCCAGAATGCTGGAGCTGTGTTGACCCAGGTATTTCTCTTATAATTCCCCCTTCCTGGGGGTAAGCAGAGGGTCCCCAGGCCCCTGGGAGGATAGGGTGGCCGGGGTGCTGGGGCAACAGGCACTGCTTCTCTGACCGATGCAGTCTGGTTCCCACAGCCTGTGGCTCCCTAATGACCTTTTCTTTTTTGCCTGTGACACTCTGGAAGCCAGAGCTAGGGAAGTGTGGTCAGTGGACTCTTCAATCCCAAGGAGTGCACACTGGATGCTCCATGCCTGCTGTGAAGTATTTCTGTGTGGCTCACAAGGACACTGAGGTCTGGAACAAGGAGCCAATACTTGTCAGCACTTCTAGGTGCCAGAAACTATACTAAAGGCATCCTTCTACCCTTCAGAAGAACATATGTGTCCCTAGTCTACCTATCAGGGAACAGAAATATTCCCTCAGTTTCTGCCCCAAGGCTTGTGGTCACAAGTGACGTGTGTGTGTGTGTGTGTGTGTGTGTGTGTGTGTGTGTGTGTGTGTGTCTGTAGAGGGGAGAAGGGTGAATATGTGGAGGTCAGAGGACAACTTGGAGTCAGCTCCCCCTTCTACCCTATGAGTCTCAGGGATGGAGCTCAGGTTGACAGGCTTAGCAACTAGCTCTTGCACTTGCTGAGAGCCATCTCACCTTGCTCCCACTGTTGTTTGTTTGGTTGGTTTTGTTTTGTTTTTCAAGACAGGGTTTCTTTGTGTAACCCTGGCTGTCCTGAAACTCACTTTGTAGACCAGGCTGCCTCGAATTCAGAGATTTGCTTGCCTCTGCCTCCCTAGTGCTGGGATTAAAGGAGTATGTCTCCATGTTTGGCTCTGAGACAGGGTCTTGCTATGTCTATAGACTTGGCTGGCCTGAAACTCACTGTATAGGCCAGGCTGGCCTCAGACTTGCGCCTCAGTAGCCACCATGGCACCTGGTACAGAGTATACTTCTCACTAAGTTTCACTGAGTAGCATTTGCCTGGAGGCTTAGAAAGTTGATCATACTTGATAGGCTCTAGAGGTCTAGGGAGAGGTGGATGGCACTGACTTCCAGAGAAGGTCCATTCCCACTGTAACCATCCTCTTACCTTGGTGACATTCCTTCTGTAACCTCCCTCTTACCCCTAGGAAGTCACTTTGTCTCTACAACTCTTACTGGAGACAATAGAGTAGCTTCCCCTTGCAAGACCCTGGCAGTCATCCTTAGAAAATGGGGTAGCAGGTATGTGGAGGCCTCTCTCCAGCCTTGGTAGGTGCCAGGCCTTCTTCTACATACCCAACTGAGTTATTTTCCTTATACCCCAGGAAGGTCCAAGAGTGGTGTCCTTTGCAGGGGCATCTGGGAGTGAGGGGATTGGTGCCTAGAGGCAGGGCCTTAGAAGGTGGCTCTGATAGCTGGTAGTTCCACACCCATCCATCCTTCTCACAAATGGCTTAGGCCCTGTCCTTGTCTACAAGGAAGTGGATGCATTTTCATTAGTGGACCCCGTTGCTTGGGTGTTTGTCTTAATTTTCTGTTACAGCACTGGGGGTTGAAACCAGAGTGTTGTGCCGAGTGGACAAGTGCTCTGCCATTGAGTTACGTCCCCAGTCTGACGTCACTGCTTTTTAAATAGCAAAATGCTCTGTAAGAGATGAGACAATGAAATGTAAAAGACAAGAAAATTAAATGGAGAAAAACCTAATTGAATGCTGCTGCAGTTTGTACAGAGATGTTTCAGCCAAGCCTGGTCATCCTCAGGGCTGAGCCACCATCCCAATGCCCTTGACAGGTGCTATTATGAATACACAACTGGCTGGTCCCTAATAAAATCTTGGGTAAATAAACCTTTTAGGATTCTATTAGTGTCAGAGCATTTTCTGGAATGTTCTTGGTAAACTCATCTTCAGCAAATAATGAGCAATAATAGCTCCTGGGACATTTCCTAGGGACACTCACTGTTTCACACTCACTGGGAACAGCTCTTTTCTCCCAAGGCAGGTGAGATTGTCCCTGCACTCAGGATTAGGATTGGGGAAGATAATGCTGGGAACCAAGTACTGAGAATGTCAACCCTGGACCTTTCCCCCTGCTGGCCTCTGAGCCTGATCCCATGAGGAGAGAACAGGACAAGTGTGGCCCTGAGCAAGTCAATACAGCGAGACTGGCTTTGTGGGGGCAGATAGAGTGGCCCAAGCACCTTGCCTCTTTCCTAGCTAATCCTAGATCATCTCAATCTCAGGGACATCCTGCTTAGCCTGCACACCCATCAAGGCATCCTTCAATGCTAGTCAGGGGTATCCCAACATGCTGCTTGTATACCATAGCTCCATCATCAGGGACCAAAATTGATCCTACCCCTTCAACTTCAACCTGAGAATGCTGGGAACCAGCCAACATCACATGTGACTAAGCAAATCTGATCATATGGACAGTGGAAATTTCTTCCTAGATCACCCAGAACTCAAGAGGGGGACTCTTCAGATCTTGTAAAAGTACTGTGCCTAACTCAGGAGCTGGTTCATCAAAAATTCATGTTCCCTTCGAGCACAGGCTGGGATAGATTTGGGGACATTTGGAAAAACCTTGTCTGTGCCTCTAATCAGCTGTAGTTTAAGTGCCCTGATGACTCTGGTCATTTTACTCCAAGACAATGGTGCCCCAGTGCTAGTCCCTTCCAACTCTCTTCTTGCAACACCAGCCCTGAGCAACCACATCCTTCACCTAACGGCATCCCTGAACCCAGAACTTGGACAGGACCTCTCACTGGCTAGGTTGTGGCTCCTGAGCTAACGGCTAACTGACCCAACTCCTGTGGTCCATAGTTCTCTCAGATCCTATCACGGATGTGCTCATTCATGGTGGTCTTGTTTCTATCAGATGGACATGTATCCTGTCTCCAGGTCTTGTTGCCTAACAGCAACATCAGGACCACCAATGGGGTCCTCAGGTGATTTCACCCAGATAAGACACCCTGGGCTTGCAATGGCCACAGGAAGCAGGAAATGATTTCCCTTGAGTGAACCCTTGGGTCACTCCCTAGGTTTTGCTAGGTTTCTTAGAAGATGTAAAGGACCCAACCCCGAATTCACCTCCTGTCTGTACTCTCATGCAACTGCCCAGATGGGCATCCTTTGTCTAAGAGGACCTATTTCTCCCTCTTTTGCCATTCCCAGTCTTATTTTGTTTTGTTATTTGAGACAGGATCTCACTATATAGCCTTTACAAGCCTGGAGCTCACTATTTAGACAGACTGGCCTTAAACTCAGAGAGCCATATGCTCCTGCTTTCTGCTGGGTTTAAAGGGGTGTGCCACCACACCTAGCCCGCTGTTCCCAGTCTTGATAGTCCATGCAGGTTTGAAGCTACTCCACAGCTAGGCTTCCTTTCAGGCTGAGATTCCCACGTCACAGTGCCCCTTGCTTCTTTACTACAATGCAAGGGGTCCATAGCCAAGAACCCTATGCCCTGATGCTAGGCTTACATTATTCTCCCAAAGTACCGTGACCCATCCTGGGGCCCCTGGACTCACACTGTTTCCATGTACAGGAGCTCTGTACACTTAGCTCAAACACTCTATGAGCACCTGGGCCAGTTATAGGTCTCCCTTGCTTCCTCCATACTCCCCAGGCATAGCCAACCCTGAGCAACTGGGTGTGCTACTCCACCAGCACTGCCTGAAACCCTACAGCCCACTCTGGTCTTAGAGCTTGGAGACATCAAGTCCTGTGCAGGGACAGTCATTGCTTTCTGGGTTACCTTGGGGAAAGAGCAGGAACATGTTTCCAATGACTGGTAGAATCCTTTCCAAAAGATGGTATCGTGGCTGAAAAAGAGGAGGTTGGCCTGGTTCCCATGGAGCAGGTGTGCCCACACAAAGGAGCCTCATTCTTTTGTGTAGTGCAAGTGGAGGGGAAGATGCATGGAAAACCTAGGAATCTGACCCCCAGTAAGGACATAGACCCCTTTGGTTCCCACATGGGGTCTTGAACTTTCCAATGTTCCAAAACTAACACTACACTGTTGGTAAAAGAATGGCCAGAGGGGCTGGGTGGTGGTGGTTCATGCCTTTATAAATCCCAGAACTGGGGAGGCGGAGGCAAGAAGATCTCTGTGAGTTCGAGGCCAGCCTGGTCTACAAAGTGAGTTCCAGGATAGCCAGGAATACACAGAGAAATCCTGTCTCACCTGCCCCCTCAAAAGAAAAGACCTGCCAGAGGCTGGGAGTAGATAGATTACTTGCCTAAAATGCTGGAGGCCCCAGCAATGCATAAAACCAGGCCTGGTGGTGCACACATGTAATCCCAGTACTTGGAAGGTAGAGAGGCAACAGAAATTAGAAGTTTGAGGTTATCCCAGGCCATGTACTGAACTCAAGGCCATCTTGGACCACACGAGACCCCACCCCCAACCACATACCTACCTCCCCCACCCCACACATACACAATTACTGTCCACAAATGGAGGGAGAGTTCCACCAGGGTCCATAGTGACTCCAGGACACATCTGATACTAAGATTTGTGGAGGAGAAACACAAGACGGAGTTACTGTGAGCAGGGATGTGGAGCATGGGAGTTGTTGGCAAGCTTTGGGATCCTTGGGCTTCATACCCCCACAGCTGTTAAAAAGAATGGGTACTGAGTTCAATGCCATAAGCTCTGCCGATGGGTGTTCTCGGTGACAAGGTTCTTAGCCTAGACATTCAGGGCAGTTTTTGAGAAGTGTATCTGGGGCCTGTGTTCTAGACACTGTAGGCCCCAGTGGAGTCCTGGGCAGAGCTTTCCTGTGATGTCAATAGCATGGCTATGTGGTGTGGGGGAGCTGGGGAACCTGGGCTTGAGTGTAACCTATACAGTTGGAGAGGTTTATCTTGCCCGAACCCTTATGGTGCAAGCTGTACTATGGGGTGAAGCGGCACCAGCACCAGGCTAGGCTGTAGCCCTCCTCCTCCAAACTTTCCCATGATGCTACTTTGAGCAGACAGCGACACTCCTATGGCTGTTATTCTGGGTGCCCGGACCCAGGGAAGGACATAGTTCCCAACAGTCCCTCTTGAGGTTAAATGCCACTTCCTTCCAGCCCCTCCTTGAAGTAGAGGTCCAGCTAGTCCTCCTGCCCACTTCCTGGGGCTCACGGATAAAGGGGCTGAGAGACTCTGGTAGGAGGGAGCTACAGAGACCTGGCATGGTAAAGGCATCATCCTCTTCCTTCCCAGATACCCTCAATGGACTCTGAGTTCCAGGCTTCTCCCTCCCGGGCAAGCCTGGCTTCCCCCATGACCTTCTATGCTCCTGTCTTCTCCTAGATCCATGCAGGGGCTCCAGCCCTCTCCATCCTGATAGAAGCCAGTCCAGCCCTCTCTCTGTGTCTCTCACATACTCCCCCTCACATGCTCTCTCCCTGTTTCTCCACAGATGCTGAGCCTGCTGTGTCTGACCCTGCTCTTCGCTGGGTGCTCCACAGCTGGAACCCCAGGTGAGTCCTCACCCCATGCCATTCTTTCCTTCTACACTGGCCAGGACTCTGGGGACATGAGTGTGACCCGCTCTGCTCCAGTGTGGGTGGCAGGCTGAGCACTGGCCTCCTGACCTTCTACTTGTTGCTTGCAGCACCTGTGTCTGAGGACGTGCTGGTGGGCATTGTGGGGGGCCACAGTGCCCGGCAGGGGAAGTGGCCATGGCAGGTCAGCCTGAGGATCTACAGCTACTACATGGCCTCGTGGGTGCACATCTGTGGGGGCTCCATCATTCACCCACAGTGGGTGCTGACTGCTGCCCACTGCATTCACAAGTGAGTTCCTTTTGTTTGTTTGTTTTGATTTTTGTTTGAGACAGGGTTTCTCTGTGTAGCTTTGTAGACCAAGCTGGCCTCAAACTGACAAAAATCCGCCTGCCTCTGCCTCCTAAGTGCTGGAATTAAAGGTATGAACCACCAGTGCCTGGCAACAAGTGAGTTCCTTGGTCATCTAGTGCGAGATAGGATGAGGAGTAAATCAGAAAAGCTGGGCCAACATGGGGGTTCAGTTGATTCTGTCCAGGACAACCTCTCCACAGTACTAATATGTCATCACAACTTCTTTCTGACTTCAGGAGAGATGCTGACCCATCATCCTTCCGGATCCACGCTGGGGATGTGTACCTCTATGGGGGCAAGGAGCTTCTGAGTGTGAACCAGGTCATCATCCACCAGGATTATGTGCATGGTGTCCTGGGTTCAGACGTGGCCCTGCTCAGGCTTGAGAAACCCCTGGGCTGCTCTGCTAACATCAAGCCTGTCAAGCTGACCTCTGGGTCTCTTGAGATTACCTCAAGATACCCATGTTGGGTGACTGGCTGGGGCATGGTCCACATGTATGGTATGTATCAAGGAAAGGTTTGGGCTGGGGGAACAAACTTGTTATCTGAGGATCCCTGGTGGGTGACATTGATGTCCTAAGAAGCTGGATCCAGGAGGGAAGAGAGGACCTCAGCTGTTTCCCCCAGATACTTCGTACATTCATTAGAGCTCTGTACCTGAGAACAATGGCATGGCTGGGCCCAGAAAACAAGACGCAAGGGAAAGGCCATGCTCCCTCCTCTCCCCCATTCTCTGCTTGGAAATACTGGAACATCTGGCTTAACGCTTTAGTTCTTGAACTACAGGCAGAAAGATTTTTTTCTTACATTATTTATGTATTATTGGGGGGCATGTGTGTCATGGCACTCATGTGGAGGTCAGGAGACAACTTGTAGGAATGTTTTCTCCATCTTTGAGTCCCTGGGGTTGAACTCAGGTCTTCAGAACTGGAATCAAATAATTCTATCTGCTAATCCATCTCTCCATCCCATATAAACAGACAGAGTCCTTCCCACACACACTGTTCCAGGGGTGGCTTTGGGTAGGGATGGAGTTGTTCTCAGCTCCCAGAATGAGTGGTAGTGGACAGGTAGGGCTATGCACCACCAACCCTGCTTCCTTTCTCCCCAGCATCGCTGCCCCCTCCCTACCGCCTGCAGCAGGTTCGGGTGAAGATAGTGGACAATGCCATCTGTGAGCAGATGTACCACAATGCCACCAGGAACAGATACCAGGGCCACAAATTCATCCAAGATGACATGCTGTGTGCTGGAAGTGAAGGCCGTGGAGCCTGCTATGTGGGTCCCATTGACCTCTTTCCTGTTCCCATTCCCACTTCAAGGATAATTCCTACTGATGTTTGTTCCTCTTCTAGGGTGACTCAGGCGGCCCCCTGGTCTGCAGGGTGGCAGGCTCCTGGAACTTGGTAGGAGTGGTGAGCTGGGGCTATGGCTGTGCCCTGAGGAACATCCCTGGGGTTTATGCAAGAGTGCAGTCCTTCCTGCCCTGGATCATTCAGCAGATGAAGAGGTTCTCCTGAGCCCAGTGTTGGCCTCGTACTGGTCAGCAGATGAGTCGGCTAACCTCTCCCAGCACCCACTGCTTTAGCCTTTTTGTGGTATCCTGAACCTGCCCAGTCCTCTGACCTTCTGGGAGTATGGACATCCCTGACCCAAGGAAGAAAGCAGGGAGGGTGGCTGGGGGTGGGTGCTCTAGCTCGAAGGGGTGGGGGGGAAGAGTGGGGATTTATTATGCATGCAGCTGCTGAAGTTTTGGCTGGTCTTAATAAAGGTCTTGTGCACATCCAAGTTCAGAATTTTGTGTGAGTTTACATCTCCTTTTCTTTGGAAAGGATGCCTACTGTGTTGTCTACCATATGTTGGCAGAAAGATCTGCCCATGATGCTAAACCTGTTGGTTCTCTGTGTCCTTGTCCTGGACGGGTATCTAGATAGTCACTGTTGGCCTTCACTATTTTGGCATCTCAAGTGTACGTGAAGCTTACATGTAGCTACACTGTGCACAAATAATCTGGGGCCAGGGCAGACCTTCAGCATGACAAAAGACTTTAGCCATCACCAGTGGCATATCGTGCTTGGGATCAGGTGACTCAGAGAAAGTCCTCATCCTTTACCCTCTTGTTCATCCTATGCTGGGACTCTGGAGACCCAGCTACTCAGACCACATGGATAAGGTCAGCTGAGGAAGAAGGAGCTGGAAAACAAGCACACCTGTCAGAGCCCCAGCCAGGAGATGTCCAGCCGCCCTAATGAGAGGTCAGCAGCCCAGGATGGGCTTGTCTCATCTGCACTCATCTAGAGAAGATACTGAGTTTCCCAAGGAGGATGCCTGTAGGCATGGGGCAGTGGCCTGGGCATCAGTTCTGTGGTACATAGGGGACAGGAGGACAGGGGTGTGGCCTGGTTGGGACTAAGTGCAGACAAGGAGAGGTTAATGAAAACTGTAGGGGTGTGAGAAGAGCTCCAGTCAGGGTTCACCCAAGGGATGGGAAGGAAGGAAGGAAGATTGCGGGGGGGGGGGGGGTCGTCCCGCCCCTACCACAAATGCCTTTTGGTATCTTATTGAGAAAGGTAGTGGAGGCGGGCTGTGCTCAAAGGTGACTATAGCTGGGCGGTGATGGCGCACACCTTTAATCCCAGCACTCCGGAGGCAGAGGCAAGCAGATCTCTGTGAGTTTGAGGCCAGCCTGGTCTACAGTGTGAGTTCCAAGGCAGGCTCCAAAGCTTCAGAGAAACCCTGTCTCAACACCACCCCCACAAGGTGACTGGTAATCAGTCAGTTCTATGGCCAGCTGCAGGCCTCTAATATCGCCAAACAACCTGCCTGTGTCCACCCCTGCCCCAGCTCTCAGTTGTGTAGCAGAGGCTACCCCAGGATCATGGGAGCTTCCCTGTCCCACACTTCAGGACCTCCACGACTGGGACAGAGAGAGGTCAACCCTGCCACCCCTGCACATCTGTCTCCTTCATATGTGGCCTGGAGATGGGTTTAAGGGGGAAGACAGTAAAAGGAAAGGTGTGGGGCATTTGCTGAAAGCAAAGAGCTGGACAGTGGGCTGCAAAGGGTAAACCATAGTAAATGCTCTTTGCTATTCTTTAGAGAGCCTCCAGGTGGTGGTGCAGGAGTAAGGACACCATGGTTCCAGTGCCTGCCTGTTAGGTGTGCAAGGGGCCTGGTCATAAGGCAAAAGCTCAACACCCCCTGGCAGGGTCTGTTTGTGCTCGGCAGGTAGGGAGCAGTCTTTCCCAGTCCTTTCAGGGTCGTTTTGTTTTTAACTTTATTTCTCTTGGAGAAGGGAGATTTATGTGGATCAGGCTGGCCTTGACTGTCCATGCCAAAGCTCTTGTGGGAGGGTGTCCTCTCTTTTCTTGGCTTTTATTTGCTGGCAGAATAGAGGTGGATGGCCCAGTATGTACTCCGACTGCACTGGGTCTGGGATGGGACGTGGAGGGCAGTGGTGGGAAGCAGGGTTTGGGGACCTGGCACCTTTCTATGTGACAACAGGGTGTGGCATGCAGCATGCCCACTCAGACTCCCAGATCCCCTCCTATCTCCTGTGGAACCTCACGGTCTAGGAGTTTAGTAATGCATGTGTACCTGTGAAGTCCCCAGGATCCCAGAGGAAGTGGATCATACCAACCTGTTGCTCTCAGCCTGACATACACTCTGCGGCTCCTAATTGGAAGGAGGCTTCCTGGGGAGTGACCATCTTTCTCAGCCTGTGAAGGCCCTAGGTCTGCCCAGCAGGATTCAATTCACTGTCTATCCCAGGGCCTCACATGTATTGGGCAAACACTACCACTAGGCTACATTCCCAGTCCTTTTCAACATTTTGAGACAGCTTGTTAAGTTGGCAATCCTCCTGCCTTAGCCTCCCCGAGGCTGAGATGACAGGCCTGTGCCTCCAGGCCTGGGTCTGCCTTGCTTATTGCTTCTGAGCACAGGACTGTGACACAAGTGTCCTGGCTCTTGCCTGATGGCTGCCACAACCCACTGAAGGATCTGCTCATCTGGGTTCAGGTTAATGGACACTTTGGGCTGCTTCCAATCGGGGCTCTTAGGGATAATGCTGCTTTTAACAGTTTGTGTTTTGTGTGAACACATGTTTTCTCTTGGAGCAGCACCAACTGTAATTGTGAACTCACACAGAATCTTTACAGGATACAAGGCTCCCAGATCTGGGCCTGTGAACACATCTGGGTGGCTGTGGCCAGGGCTGGGCTTCTCCTCAGTTCTTGGTTCCCACCGCCTCCATGGCTTCAGGAATTCTGGGGGCTCTTCAGAGCTTCTCCCCATGTTTTATTTGTGACAGGGTTTCTTTCTGTAGACCAGGATGGCTTCAAACTTGCGGTGATCCTCCTGCCTCAGGCTCCAGAGTGCTAGGCTTACAAACATTAAGTCACCATGGCTAGCTCTGTTTCCTCTCTTTCTTTGGGGACAGAGCCTCATGAAACTCAGGTTGGCCTTGAATCCCTGACCCTCCTGCTTTCATCTTCTGGGAGTTAGGATTACAGATTGGCACCACCACGTCAGGGGGCTTACTTTCATTTTTATTGTCTTTGATTAAAAAACAAAAATAAACAAACAAAAACACCTTAACAAAAGCAACTTAAGGGTAGAAAGTGTTTGTTCTGATTGCCAGGTACACTCCATCACTGTGGGGAAGGCGTGGAGGCAGGGGCATGAGACAAAGTAATCATGTGATAGTCACAGTCCAGGCTCAGAGCAACAAACACATGCTGATTAGCTCTCTTCATTCGCACAGTTCAGAAGCCCAGCCAGTGAACAGCGCCACTACAGTCCCCAGGTCCCCCCACCTAAACCAGTGTAACAAGGTGATTCCCTACTGGAATGCCCAGAGGCCCTTCTGTCAAGCTGAAAGTCAACATTGTCACATTCAGTTTATTCTGGACTGGGGAATCCAATCCAGTGCCTCCAGCTTGTTAGGCAAGCGCTCTCCCAACTGTGCCCTCTCACAGCTCTGTTCTCCCTGCTTCTAATTAGCATTTTTGTCAGGGCTAGCAGTGTACATTTCACCACATGTCCATATTTTCTATTTGCATATCTATTTTGATGAATGTGCAAATGTTTTTTTATTTTGTTGTTTTTAATTGCTTCCTAAGTTCTACATAATATATGTCTTGACTCAAAGGCTTTTAAACATTTAAATGTTCTACAGAGAACCGATTCTGTTGCACAGAATTGGAGGATAGAGGTAAACAGAACAAGTGAAAGGAGTAGAATTGAGCTGAAAGTTCTTCAGGATCTAGCCACAAAGTTATGGAGTCTGTCTGCTGTGGGGACAAGACTACCTAGGCCAGCCCTGGGCCTTGTATCTGCCATAAGTTGGGAGGAAAGAGGAGGTGAGGTCCGTGATGGCTTCCCCCAATCCTGCTGCATAAGGCAGGGAAAAGCGTGAGATCCCAGCACGGCTGGGTGTGGTGCACACCTGCGATCCCAGAACCAATGGCCCAGGTGTACACCTGTGATCCCAGCACCAATGGCTGTGGTGCACACCTGAGATCCCAGCACCGCTGGCTGTGGTGCACACCTGAGATCCCAGCACCGCTGGCTGAGGTGCACACCTGTGATCCCAGCACCAATGGCTGTGGTGCACACCTGAGATCCCAGCACCAATGGCTGAGGTGCACACCTGAGATCCAAGCACCGCTGGCTGTGGTGCACACCTGAGATCCCAGCACCAATGGCTGAGGTGCACACCTGCGATCCCAGCACCAATGGCTGTGGTGCACACCTGAGATCCCAGCACCGCTGGCTGTGGTGCACACCTGAGATCCCAGCAGCACCAATGGCTGAGGTGCACACCCGAGATCCCAGCACCGCTGGCTGAGGTGCACACCTGAGATCCCAGCACTGCTGGCTGAGGTGCACACCTGAGATCCCAGCACCAATGGCTGAGGTGCACACCTGAGATCCCAGCACCGCTGGCTATGGTGCACACCTGAGATCCCAGCACCAATGGCTGAGGTGCACACCTGAGATCCCAGCACCGCTGGCTGTGGTGCACACCTGAGATCCCAGCACCGCTGGCTGTGGTGCACACCTGCGATCCCAGCACCGCTGGCTGAGGTGCACACCTGTGATCCCAGCACCAATGGCTGTGGTGCACACCTGAGATCCCAGCACCGCTGGCTATGGTGCACACCTGAGATCCCAGCACCAATGGCTGAGGTGCACACCTGTGATCCCAGCACCAATGGCTGAGGTGCACACCTGCGATCCCAGCGGCACCAATGGCTGAGGTGCACACCTGCGATCCCAGCGGCACCAATGGCTGTGGTGCACACCTGAGATCCCAGCACCAATGGCTGTGGTGCACACCTGCGATCCCAGCACCAATGGCTGAGGTGCACACCTGAGATCCCAGCGGCACCAATGGCTGAGGTGCACACCTGAGATCCCAGCACCAATGGCTGAGGTGCACACCTGAGACCCCAGCACCAATGGCTGAGGTGCACACCTGCGATCCCTGCACTTGGGAAGATGAAGCAGAATG